TCCTGAGTTTGATTCCCAACAACCGTATGTTTGGCTTACAGCCTTCTGCAATGGATCTGATGCCCTCTTCTGGTGTGCAGTTGTGCATGCAGACAAAGCACTTATACACATCATAAAACACAAACGTGTATGAACTATGAAAAAGGAGCATCACTTTATACCAGGAAAAGGACTCTTGTATAGATAGTACAGCTGTCTCTGGCCTCTGTGATAAGGAAGTACACAGTAGGAGAGTTCCCTCAGCTTACAAAGCATGAGATGTAGGGGAGCCCTTCTAGTGCGGGACTTTTATGTCATTGGGGAGGCAAACAGTGCTAAGTATTATGAAGAAAGCTAAGAAGTAGGAAGAGCATAGAGAATGAAAGGATTGGTGGAGTGAAATTGACTTCACTGAAGAATTATTTGAAAGGCATAAACATCTCTGGCTTGCTTATGTTTTCAGCAATGCCTCATTATAGCCAATGAGAAATAAATGCTAGGAATGAATACCTAACTGTCATTTATAATTTCTGGATGCCATAATCATCTACAGTTCAGCCTTTTGGGTGTTGACTTCCTTTGTTAGTACGCTGCAGTTGAGCTCATTAACCAGTAGTTCACCTCTCTTTCAAGCTGAGTATTAGTTTTGTTTTTTGTTTGTTTGTTTTGTTTTTGAAGTTTCCTTGAGGTTTTGCACTAGACAGTCATCTCCCCTCAAATAGAAGCACCGTTCTCTTCCGTGCCTTTAACTTTTATTACTTCTTGCTTTTCCATAATAAAAGGAAGTAGAACAGATATCCTTGCCTTCATCATGGTCTTAGATGTACAACATTCACAAGATGATAGGAGCTATAGGGGTGTTAGGTAAAAACCCTTTATGGACTGGAATTCCTTTGTATTCTAGTTTGCTAAGTAGTTATTTATTTTCCCTTTAAAATCATAAATTGATTTTACCCCCAAATGCTTTTTCTGTATCTACTCAGTTATAAAGTAGCCTGCCTTCCTTCCTTCCTTCCTCTTTTTCCCTCTTTCCCTCCCTTTCTTCTGTTTTTCAAGACAGGGTTTTGTAGTCCTGGCTGTCCTGGAACTTGCTCTGTAGACTAGGCTGGAGTTGAACTCTGCCTCTGCCTTCTGAGTACTAGGGCTAAAGGTGTGTGCCATCACCACCTGGCAGTGGTTTTTCTTTTTTAATCTCTTAACCTAGTGTGTTAGATTAAGGATAAACACCACTTGCCCATTATTTGACTTGTTTTATTTATTGCTGGATGTTATTTGCTATCATTTTGTTAAGAATTTTGTATGTTTATTAAATATATGATTTCTATTACATCTTTTTTTTCCAGGTTTAGCATTTGGCTAAAGTAAGTCTTGTCTCTTAGAGTAGGCTGGGAACTATTTCTTCCTCTTCTTTTCCCAAAGACGAAAGAGTCAGTATTATCTCAATCTTAAATAGTTCATAAAATGTACTTTTTCATGGGAAGGATTTTAATTACAGTCAGTTTCTTTGATAGTTATGATAGGGCCCTTTGGGTTACTAGGGTTTTTGTTTGTTTTTGTTTTTAAGTAAGGTTCCCCACACTGTTTTCAATCATGTTGCTTTCTGTTCTTTTCATTTCCTCTCTTGGGGTTCATTTGCTCCTTCCTAGGATTTTACAGTGGGAGCTGAGATTGTTGATTTGAACATCCCACTGTCGATCGTGTGGTTTATGTCAGTGATACTAAGTGCCTTCTCCTGTGGTTTTTGGAAGGCGCTTTGGAAAACGCAGAGCTTGCTGCGCTAGCACACATATCCTATTTAGAAGGCTAGTTGGATTTTTGAACTAATTTTTTTTTCATTATAAGTACCACTGTCTGGATACATGTAAGGTCTTTAGGTCATTGTGCCCTGACACAGTGTTTATGCCACTTGAAGGGATGGAGGGGGAGTCAGTGAAACAGCCCAGATGAGGGGACAGTGCCACAGAGTTGCCCACATGAGGGGACAGTGCCACAGAGTTGGAAGGCTCTTGGAGGTTTCAGGCCCATTCCCCCTTTGTACTTAAAAGAGAAACCAGGGCTCAAATTTAGTACAAGGTCAGAGACAGTGAACTGGATGAGTCTGGGTAGAGAGAGGTCATTGTTATTGCTGATGGAGGGGTGAGTGTCCATCACAGAGCAGGCAGGGGTCCCAAGGTCTTCAGTTCCAGACAATGTTGGGGTGTGAGCAGATCCAAAGGAGGAGCTTTTACAGGTGCATTGGGAGGCCATTTAATTTGATTATTTTATGTGTATTTTTATTTCTTTTTCTTTCCTTATCCCCCCGCCCCATTTTTCTTTTCTTTCTTTTTGTACTTGAGCTTAGGAGTCTCAAACATGCCAGGTAAACACAGTTCCACTGAGCTACACCCCTTACCCAGGATTTTAGTTTCTTTAATGTGGGGGGAGCCCCATCCAAGAAAAACCGTTTTTGTAACTTGGTGTTTGGTGTTGTATAAGAATTGCTCAGGCCAGGAGAGTTCCAGAGTTCTGGAGGTTCATTTATTGAGTGAGCTCAGCATGGTAGCATACAATTTTAACCCCAGCAGGGTAGCAGAAGCAGGTAGAGCTCTTGAGTTTGAGGCTAACCTGGTCTATAGAGAGCATTCCAGGACAGCCAAGGCTACAAAGAGAGACCCTGTCTCAGAACAGTAGACGAGCAGACTTGGTAAAGTATGCTTCTGTTCTGTTTGTCACACAAGTCATCTTTAATTCCCTTGTCATAAATGTCCTTACATTGTCACGTAACCCTGTCCTTCTAGGCATTTAAAACGTTAGAGACATAAGTGGAGGTAGAAAAGTGCCTAGGTGGAGAGGCAGCGGGAGCAGCGGTCACTAGATAGTCGTACAAGCTAGGCCTAGAACAAAGGTCGCAGCTCCATCTTGCCAGCACCAGCATGGCGCCCAACACTAGATTTCTTCCTGTGGACTTGTATGAAAAGCCTGATGGTCCGACAAGGCTGGTAATGCCCTGAATAAAAGCCACACATCTTAGGGCTCAAGCAGTGCTTCCTAGTGGGGAGCTAATGGCAGGACTGTGTGTCTAGTCCAGTGCACACCTCCAGGAAGGATGCGGTGAGGAACCCAAGGGAGGGAATAGAGATGCATTGAGAAGGCAGAGCCTCACAGAGGAGGTATCTGAGTCATTGTGGATCTAAGGACAGCTGGGAGGAGAGGCCACATGGGGCAGAAAGTGAATCTCTAATGTGAATGTTGCCTGTGGCAGCCAGGGTGAAGGCTAACACCATCATTAGATGATAGTAAGAATTAATTATTGGGCCAGGCATTGTGGTACGCGCATGTAGTTCTGGTACCCAGGACTACACGCCACTAAAGAATAACAAGTTCAGGGCCAGCTTAGTAGCTGCCGCTACAGTTAAAAATAAAACAAACAAACAAGCAAAAAAGCAACAAACACTAAGGAATGGGAGTGAGGAATTGTTCATGCGTATAGGGATATAGGATAGAAGAAATCATTTTAAAGTTCTATAGCGCAGTTGGGTGACCAAGGTTGACAAATAATGGTAGATTACAGAATAGCTAATAGACAAGATTTTGAATGTTTTCAGTATAAAGCAATGGTAGCTGTCTGAGTTAATGGGTATACCCCCATCACATCATGATATGTTTTATATACATATTTATATATACACACACACATTGAAATGTCACATTGTATCTCATGTATATGTACAATTGTAAGAATTTTTTTTAACCTATTTAAAAAGATAGTCCTGAGGCCAGGCAGGTGAGTGGTATACTTTAATCTTGGGAGGTAGATCTCTATGAGTTCAAAGCCATCTGGTTGGCAGAATTTCAGGAGCCAGGGCTACATTGAAAGACTCTGAGAAAAAAAAAAAAAAAAAAGACTTGAGGGGGGTTCAGGATAGAAAGATATTGTTTCTGTAACTCAGTTTAAATATAGAACACAGGAACAAATTTGTTTAGTTTATTGGGTGCCTGGTGGCATCTACCAGAGGGATAGTAAGCAATAAAGTAGCTACCTATCCCAGGACCTGTGACCTGCAGTGCCCCTTGAAGTAGTGCGTATTGTTCAGTTCTGTTAAGAACACAACATTTGGGATGTTGTTCCGTTGTCTCATGCTTTTCAGAGCAACTAAATCACTTCAAAGCATTAAAAACTGAATAATCATAAAACAATATTAGGATGTTATTGTGCATTCCTTTGTTATATTTGGAATCTGTTAGTCACCATTACAAGTGTCCAAGAAAAATGGTTCAAGGGAGAGGTGATTTATTTTAGCTCACATTTCAGAGGCCTCTGTCCTGGCTGGCCAGTTCCTCTGCTGTGGGCCAGAGGCATGGGCATATTGAGCAAAGCAGAGTGAGGTGGAGAAGCTAGGGACCAGGCCTTTTTCTCCAGGAAATACATCCAAGCACCTGCTTTTCCCAACAAAGTCCCACTTCCCAATAATGCTATCGTATTATGAGTCTATCAAGAGATTGATCCATTGACAAGATTAGAATCCCAGTCACTTCCCCCAGGCCCATGAGCCTCCAGAGAACTTCCCAGATTCCAGCTGTAACAAGTACAGTTGAATATGGTAACACATGCCTGTAATCCCAGTGCTTAGAAGGTAGAGGCCAGAGGGCCAGTGTCTTAGGTCATCTTCTATCACATAGCAAGCTCAAGGCCAGCCAGTGCTACATGAGACCATGACTCAGAACACCAAAAGCCGGGTATAACTTGAGTTGAGACATTGGTTAAGCCTCATGTAGGCTGTTCTCACTAGCAGTATGTATTTATGACATCATCCCAAAAGCAGTGTTTTCCTATCTGAGCCCTTGCTACCCCAGAGAATGTGACCCAGCAGTGGGAGATGAATTAACTTGATTAGGTTTAAGACTATGTGATAAGGCTGTGGCAGAGTCAACTTTGACTTGAGAGGATAATTACTATTTTATAATCTGTTATTGCAACTCTGTTATATGAAGCCATATAAAATCAAGCAAATAGTCACTTTTTGTTTTATTCTGTTTTATAGATCGTGAGGACCAGTCAATTCTTTGCACGTAAGTAAATGTTGATTATTCAGAATTGATTCTGATTCTTTTGGAAAGTTGAGAATTACTTTCTTGTTTTGGGGGAGGGAGTGAACAAGGGTGTGACTTAGACATTGCCATTATTCTCAGGCTAAGAGTGTATAAGATACTCACATCTGCTGTTACTGCTTGGCTATCAGCTAAGACTCCTCACATTTCGTGAGTTAAATCTCTGCAATTCACCTCTTTAATTTGTATGTCTAAGTGTAGGCTGGCTGGAGAGTCTAGCAATATATTATTTTTACTACTAAATGTTTATCAGTCTCCTCTGGCACCTGCGTACTGAGTGCCACTGGATAGAACAGTATCCAGGACTGGACACATTCACGGTGTGCACATTGGAAAGAGGCTTTGGATGTAGTGTGGACCTTGGGCTGGAGATCATTTAGGCTGCTGTAGTGACAGAGGCAAGGCGATGGTGAACCTACAAAGAAGCACTTGAATTTAAGTGCTGTTCAGTTGAGGATCCAGGCTGGAGAGATGGCTCAGTGGTTAAGAGCATTTACTGCTCTACCAGAGGACCAGGTTCAGTTCCCAGCACCCACATGGCAGCTCACAACTGTCATTAACTCTAAGGTCTTGACACCCTCACACAGACATACATGCAGGCAAAACACCAATGCAAAAATAGATAAATAGATAGATAATTTTGTAAGATAGAAAATAAGTAGATTTCTTGATAGAATTAGGCTGTCTCCCTACATGAAACTGGGAAAGGAGCACGCTCAAGAGGGAGGCGCCAAGCTTGGTTTGAGCCACATTGCTGGAGGGCACCTGTGCTCGTCATTAGTGTGGAAATACACTGAGGAGAGAGGCCTGTGCCGAAAATACGGAATCGGGGAACTGCAGCATGGATACTGGAAGCTGTGTGTTGTATGTGGGGCCTCAGGACAACCAACACTCGGGATAAAGCACAGGAAGAAGAGATGCAGACTCCAGAATGACCCAAGGGGAGGTGGCATTGCTAGGGGGTGGGGTATTGCCAGGGGGCGGGGCCTTTACAGAAAGTGGGAGTGCCCAGCGAGCCTGCTGCTTCCTGATACTGAGTGAGCGGAACAGAAGCCATAGAAGATGGAGGATGTTAAAAGGACTTGAGCGATGTGTGTTGGGAGTGGGAACTAGAAGTCAGCCTGGAGCTGGGAGAAAAAGAAATTAGGGAAAACAAACAGAAAACCAAGACATACTGTTCCTGAGGTCAAGAATGTGAACGGAATAGTAGCTGACTAATAGTGAGAGGCCAGCAGAGGGTTTATATCTCATTGGTGCTTCTAATGTGGCCAAAATAGATGCAGTTGAAAAAGAGGGTGTTATCAAGAGTAGTAGGAGGAAGGAGTATTTGATAGGCCTGGAAGGCACCACAGCTCTCCTGTGGCAATGTCCACAGTCCCAGTGAAGGTCCATGGGGTAGAGATCTGGGAATTGAGAACACTGTCCTATGTTGCCTCTTTTATTTCCAAGACAGGGGGGTCCCTTGGCTGTCCTAGAATTTGCTGTGTAGACCAGGCTGGCCTCAAACTCAGAGATGGGCCTGCCTGTGCCTTTTTTGGTGGGTGAGATGGGGAGGAAGGAATAGAAAGCTTGATATTTAGTATGTGGTGGGAGGAGAGAGGTGTGCGAGAAGAAAAGAGAGAGTCTGCTTTGTCATGAATTTTCTTCCAGCATCATTTAGCATTTAGCATCATTACATAAAGAACTCTCCCTTGAAGCCTCCTGGCTCCACAGCATGGTCAGTCCTGTGAGGCCACTTGGCAGTTGCTTGCTGCCTTATAATGCAAACCTAACCACCTGAGTTTGATCCCTGGTGCTCATATAAAGGTAGAAAGATGGAGGAAGAGAACCAGCTACACACACTGCCCTTATTGTCCACACATATCCCTTGGGACACATACCCAAACACTTAACACACACAAATAATAAATAAAGTTACCTGTTTAAAAAAAAAAAAAAACCTCAGCGAGGTTGCATGGTCCTGCAGGCTTCCCAGCAACTGTTGGAGGACTGACTCACTTGGTTGTCCTATCACATAGGGCAGACTTAGCATCTCACTTGGTGTTCACTCCTGCCTCTGTAGCCAGCTGTGGGCAGCTGGATAACTATTGGGACAGAGTGCCATGACGTCTCTCTAGAGTCTCTCATCCTAGCTTTAATGGCACAGCTGTATTCCAAAAGCAGCAAGAGGTACATGCTGAGATGTCTACTGTGTCCCTCTCCCAAGCCTGACACAGCCGTGGCCTGAGTCCACCAGGGAACCACCACAAAGTGAAATATAAAACAATGAGCTATCGCTGTGGTCCCCCTCTGGGTGCTGGCATGGAAGCACAAATCTAACTCAAAAAAGGCGTCAAACTCAGTTCCCTCTACATTGTGTTGTTTGGAATTGGGGTGACTTTGCCTTCTTTCCTATTACTGGCAGTTGAACCAAAGGGCCTTGTGATGATGGACAAGCATGCTCCCTCAGAGATAGAGCCCAGCCCTCTTTTTATTTTGAGATAAGTTCTCACTAAGTTTCCCAGGCTGGCCTTGAACCTGAAATCCTCCTGCCTCAGCCTCCCAAGTAGTTAGGACTACAGGCTGTGCCACCAGGCTGACCTGCATGACCTTTTTGATGAAAACCTTTGAAAATATTTGAGAACAACAGACAGCTTAGGAGGGAATGGCTGCTGTCAGCAGAGTGAAAGGCTGGTAGCTTCTGATCTTTGGGTGCCTAAATGGCCATCACAGGCATTAACATTTGTAATTAGATGGTGGCATCATTCAGAGTGGGCTCATAAGCTAGTCTCCTGGCAGCTGAGTCATCTCTGCTTGGCTCAAGTAGCAGCTGTTAAGAACAACATTTGCTTTCTTTCACATTCTTTTTTCATTTTAAAGTTCATTAAAAATTCAGTATAAAGAACTTAAAAAAAATTCACACAGCAAAATTAACCAAACCCAAAGTCTATACATCTCAATGAACTTCTATATAGTTAGAACAGCCATTCTGAAGCTGTGGAGCTTCACATTGCATTTTATAGTGTCTCTATCAAATATATATATGTATTTGTACTTGTATGAACTTATCCAAAAGTGAAAAATCTGGACAGAGTTAAAACTAGAGAAACAATTAGCTTTATAGTCTCTTATGATTCAAGTCCTAAAAGTGAACCCGTTCTATTTCAAATTATTTTCTCCCAATGTCTTACCATTAATATTCTCACACCTAAAGCAAAGTTGAAGGAACTATAGTGAACACCCATATATACTCTACCCAGACTCAACCATAATATTTTTACAATAGTTGGTTTATCATATCTGTCTGTTTGTTCATCCCTCTACCTATCAGTCCATTTTTCTGTTTATATTGGAAGGAGGGTAGTCTGAAGCTTACATATTTACTCAAAGGGCTAGATAAACAGGAAAAAAGAGAAGCTTTGTTTACATATAAATAATGGTCACTGATGATAGATTGGTTTTTGTCAACTTGACACAAACCTAGACATACCTGGGAAGAGAGAGCCTTTAAAAAACTTTTATCACATCACTACCATTTATTTATTTATTTGCCATGTGTGCTCATTCAATAGAATATGTGTGGAGCTTAGAGTACAACTTGTGGGAACTCCTTCTCTTTATCTAAACTGTAGATTCCAGGCACTGAAATTCAGGTCCTCAGGCTTGGCATCAGTGCCTGTGAGTCTTTCTTCCAGCCCAGGAAGAGGGAGTCTTAATTGAGAAAATACCTCTGTAAGACTGGCCTGTAGCCAAGTCTGTGAGGGGGTATTATATTAATTAATGCTTGATATGGGAGGGGCCAGGTGGTCCTGGGCTGAATAAGAGAGAAAACTGGGCATGCCCCGAGGAGCCGTGAGTAAGCCCTGTTCTAACCTTTGTGGACCCTGCTTCAGTTCCTGCCCTGACTTCCTCTGAGGGAGTGTTACCTAGAAGTTTAAGATGAAGTAAGCCCTCTCTTCCCCAACTTGAATTTGGTCACTTTCTGCACAGCAGCAGAAACCTAAGACAGAGGCGTTACTGCAGGGGCTGTCTGAACACACACGCACGCACGCACGCACGCACGCACGCACGCACGCGCGCTTTTTAATGCTTTTGATTGATTTGGTTAAATGTAGATCAGATTGATTTGCCTGAATGTACGTCTGTAAGAGAGGGTGTTGGATCTCCTGGAGCTGGAGTTACAGACAGCTGTAGCTGCTGTGTGGGTGTAGGGGATTGAGCCTTGGTTCTCTGGAAGAGCAGCCAATGCTCTTAAGCTGCTGAACCATCTCTCCAGCCCCCTGACAGATCATATTCTAACCTTAACTGTAACGGTGTGGAGGAGGTTAGGGCTTCAGTTGGGAATCTCGGAGGATCACCACAGCTTTTCCCGATAGAGGCTCAAGGGCAAATGCACATGAACAGAGGGTCTGCCAAAGTTGAGGGGTGTTTATTTTGGTGCTGCCAGTTGTTTAGCTATGGAGTTTAAAGTAGTTTTCTCTAATTTAGCAAGCCAAGGTACCCTTCATTTAGTGCTTTTCAAGTCCAGTTTAACAAACTGGTACACTTTTCCCTATATAGATAGTATTAGTTGAGACCCTATCTCAAAAAGGGAGGGATGTTCTAGGCAAGGAAAAGAAGCTAACATCTTTACCTGTTATCCCTAGCACATGTCACTTTAAGACCCATAAAGTGTTATGTGGAGCCAGTGTGAATGTGGTAAAGGGGACTTGAACACAGCCAGGCTCCATCATAGTCTCCTGCCAGTCTCCATCATACTCTTCTGCCAGTTTCCATTTTAGTCTCCTGCCAATCTCCATCATAGTCTCCTGCCAGTATCCATCATAGTCTCCTGCCAGTCTCCATCTTAGTCTCCTGACAGTCTCCATCATAGTTTCTTGCTAGTTAGCTGTCTTCTGAAGGACTAGTGTTTTTGTCTTTGACAGTTTTTCATGGGTAACTATAATGTTGTAAAGATTTTTAAATATAAGTTGTTTCAATTT